ACAACCACCAGCCGAGAGCACTTTTTTCTCGCCAACTTCTTTGCGTACTTATAGATTTGCTTCAATGACTAGTAGCCTTTATCCTGAAGCCGAAATCACCGGTCTGGTACCGAAATAAGGAAATCATCCCTCCCTTCCCCTCCCCCCCCCTCTCCCCTTCCCTCCCTCTCCCTCCCCTCTCCTCCCCTTTCATCTCCCCGGAATCGTTGACATTTTTTCGTTAAAAGTTTTCCTTCTCGAGCAATCGTTAAAAAGTAGAACAGCCAGCAGTTGCGAAAACAGGTAAGAACGAAATAAGAAGGTAAACAGAAACGAATGCAATAAAAATGCGAGCAATCTCTCGCCCCTACTTTTGCTTTTTGGGAATGTGGCCTTTGAACACACAAGATTTTTTAATAGTTATTTTGTAATTCAATGCAAATACAAGAGAAAGTAAAATTCGGCGGATAGATCATATTACTTGTCTATTGATACATGTTGTGCTTTATGGGTGGTACTCTCGAAAGGGCAAACGACCGTTAGGACGATCTCCGAAGCATTGGTATTAACACACCAATCCTGAAACTAAAAATCTGACATAGCCGAGTAACATCACTAACAAGGGATGCCCCCATCGATAGTCCGGGTATCCTGAAATTCAGTAAGTGAAGATTCTCCTCCCCTAAATTGGGGGTTATTTTTTGCAAAAGCTTCAAAAATGTCTTATGTCGGGGAATGCTGGCCATGCATATAACAGAACAGCAGAATGGCAGACGCGCGCATTTGCTTTGAATTTATAGTTTACATTTTTTTTGTGTGTGCAGATGTGGTATAACGTGTGAAAACAAAACTTGTTAGTTATCATTCATTCGCCGTACTCTTAGAATGCCATGCAACTGTGTTAATTTTCAGATTATTTCAGTAATTTCTCTATTCGCTGCGCTGAAAACTGGCTTTTTAAAGTAAGTTCCAAAAGTCAACTTGGTACTTTCACTTCGATATTTTGTCCAGCTGTTTGTTTCATCGTCGCGTTTCTTCGCATTTCTGGTACACATTTCACGGCCTAATCGATGTCTTCAAAAGCTTTTGTGCCCAATTTTAGTTTTTGAAATGAATTTTTTTTGAAGGGATAGTGTAATCGGCTTAACATTTCTTACCAATTTATAAAATTAATAATACTTTTTTTCTTTTATCCTTTCCTTTTATTGTGTTTGTACATTACTTTCTTCTTTAAATGCAGGCTGTAAAGTAATAATATAATAAGAAACTGATCCCTTGCACAGATGCAGAGCAGCTAAAATATTTTAGTTTTGTGGCAATTTAACGAAGCGTCAGTTTTGCAGGTCACAAAATGTACTTGCCTTCGTGACGATTTTTGGTCCCTTCCTTATTGTGGCCGTTTCATTTCTGTACAAACTGCTGAGTATAGTCCGAGCGGGCAGAGGTGTCAGTGTGCTATTTACGCCAACTATTCGATGGGGTCCTG